TCTCGTTTAGAACGACGAGTTATTTTCCAAGTGAAAATAAACGATTAATTATTATCGGAGTGAAACGCCATGATCGCTACAGCAATTAAGAATAAAACAATCGCGCGCGATTCAAAATCCGGAAAGATAACCATAAATAAACGTAGCGTGCAGCGTGGCTGCAATAAACACGGCAAATAATAATGAAACATGATCACATCGGAAGAAAACAAGATATTACACGGCGAGTAATTGATGCCGGAAATAAAACGAATGCACGATGACGAAAAAATAATTTTATTAACAAATGAGAACAGGAAACGATATTAAATGATGTTTTCATTGTTAATGAAATAATGACTATGTACTGCCATTCTTTATTGAACTCTACTGAATTGCACGCTGCATACGAAACGGAAACGAATGAATAATATTATAAACAGATATCAATATTTAAACAACGTTAAATTGTCCCCCGATCATGAGTGAAGACAGACAGTTATTACTTGGAAGTCTAGATTATGGAACAGGAAGTAAAACGTAACTACCTAACCGCTGAACGATACTGAACTCTATGAAAGAATAATACCACAAACAAATATCAATACTTCACTTAAAATAGAAATGGAACACGATATTAAATAATTGTTGTGTGATCGATTTGAAAACCGGAAGACTAGCAGGCATGTAGTTACCTAGAATCGTCAGATTATAGAAACGGGAAGTAAAACGGTAGCTATCTACCGCCGTTCTTTACTAAACTACACTTCCGGGTGGCAGTTCCTTCGTTCCTTCCATATATATCTTTCCCTATTTTTAGAACAAGAGAAAGAGAAATCGCGGAAACTCGGAAAGATGAATACACGGTACTCCGTGAGATGAAATTGATTTCGCCGGATTCCTCGACAAAACTCAAAAAAAAAGTGACTGCAACATTGGAAACGGGGTCAAACGTAACTCCCTCTTTTCTTTTTTTTTCCCCCTGCTTTTCCGCTTTGAGGTCGCTTTTCAAACGATATACACCGTCGGGGTACAATATGCAACTGTCGGGATTAGCACGACTAATGTCACGTTCGTTAGCTGCGCGAACAAGCCACCGGCTTGACTTCCGGCGCCACGCGACTCATTCGTCCCGTGTACGATGTACATTTCCTCCGGCTACCTCTTTTGCTCCGTGTTTGCTTCCGCTTGCGTGAAAGCTTCCATTTCTTGTTCATGGCAGTACGTTCAATAAATGGGCTGCGGTTGAAGGGTGGCAAACAAAAAGGGGGTTGGTTGGGGGAAAAGGACACGGTTTTGAAAGAATTTTCCCTTTTCTGAGATTTCTTTGTTGGCGGGATTCAAACAGTCGAGCAAAGATAAGGTGTCGAGACTTTTTACGAGAAATCACGAGGAATATTGTTGGAATTTTTTTTAGAATTTAATCCCAGAAATACTTTTTTACGACGCAAGCTTTAGTTGTGAGAACGCCAATCAATCAAGCTTACTTATCTCTTGATAGTATACACACTATCAAGAATTTCAAAAATCTCGAAAATTGTTCGACAATCATATAGGGGCGATTATATTTCAACACTTATATCGTGCATCACAGAAGTATTCATACCAACAATTACCAACTTTGAACTTTTTATGAAATAAGTTGTAAAATTCGTACCAATGAGGATGCTGATGAAATTTGTTGAAACGAATTTTGTAGTTTTGTTTTATGAAACCGTTCAGAGTTTTTCAACAATTAAAAACGTATGAATATCTCTGTGATCTCATCGTATATAATTGAAGCAAACACATATACAAAAATCCACAAAAAGTCCACATCGATCGACAGAGTTTACAAAATTTCTACAGCAAATTAGAAAATTCTGATAATTACGACGTTGATTACTTGCATCTCATCAGTTGTGAAATGAAGCCGACCGAATCGTAATTACCTGTGTTTACTGATTAACTACAAACAATCAAGGGGTTTAATTAGATAATAGAATGATATGGACAGTGAAACACGTTTTCATGCCGGGCTATCTTTGTACCGCGATCCATTAAAATAGAACAAAGCATAAAACTAGGACAATCGTGAATTGACAACCGCCGTTTATGTATGTTCTGTAACATCTTGGAAATTATCGAGCCACCAATGTCAGACATTTCGTCGCGCTCTTTGTAATCCTGTGCCAGAAATAACACGGGAATCGATCAGTGTGTGTCTTACAAAGAAACAAATGCTTCGATAAATTAAATATCAAGCAACACGTATACACTTGGATTGGATGCAACGTGATTCAAGAAGAATTGAACTCAGTTAACTTTTACGAGTGATTTATCAATGTTGCGTTCGCAAATTTTTCTCCAATTATTAAATTTATTAATCGCTAACTCTATCGTTCGAATCATTAAATTTAAAAACAAAAAAAAATTCCAACGCAAATATCTTTACTGCAACTATACCCGTTAGAACTTAGATTCTGAAATTTTATGAAATTTAAGGAGATTGAAGTATATAGTATTTGAAGGAAGCAAACGTACGGATTTATTACATTTTATTTTTATTTTTATTTTTTATTTTCAAGAATTTTCTTTGTACTTCCACATAAGTAACATAATATCATCGTGCGTATAAAATACTTTCTCTGATAAAAAGACTCGTTCAACGTCGTCCGGCGACACGATTTAGAAAACAGGTTGGTCACTTAGAGAAAAGATCGCGACAAGAAATCATAAATCCTATTCTATATTGATATTGATCCGATATATTACGATCTCGAAGGAATACTTTTCGCTGTCAGCGAGAGAATGAAGAAGACATAAACATATATATTCGTTCGTTGTCAAAAGATCGTAATATACATTGGCCAATAAATACTTATTTGCTGGAACAATGAGCGGGGTCCCTGAAGCATAACGCGAGCAAACATCATTTCTGGAACGAATGACCGAAAGGAATTGCATCGACTCGAAAAGAACAGTCCGCACGAAACTGTAAATATCGTTTACTTAATTCGCCAAGGACCAAGCAAGAACCTATCATAAGAGCCTATCATATACTTCGATTGCTTTAATTCTCAAAACATGATGGAATCCAGATAAAACACACGACGTTGAAGAAACTATCAAGCAACTCGGAACTTGGAATTCTCTTTCATCGTCTCGATATATTAAAAAAAAAAATGGTTTAAAATGAAGCGTAATGCGATCGAGATTGAGATCGTATAAAAAATGGCTTCTACGAGATGTTTCGAGGTAACGCGCTTAGATTAGTTCGAGGCAGAGTAATTAAATCTCGGAATGGAAAACCAGAGTGAGAAATAAAAGAAGAAGAAAAAAAAAAAAACAAATCGACGAAACGAAACGAAGGAGGGAAATAAATCACCTCGAAATCGGTCAATTATCGAAAATTTTAATCAAACCGTTTGTTTGCACTGTGTTTTTCTCGAAGAGACAATCGCCAGAACGTAATTACCATGAACATCCTGAATTGTTTTGCCGGGGAGAAAAAGAAAAGTTTTATTTCGTGTTTACGAGGGTCGAAGCGGAATTAATATTGATCACAGTATCGAGGAAGCAAAAAAAAACGTTAAAAGAATGCAACAAAGGGTTAGTTTTTCGAGGTATATATTCTTAGAAGCGACCGTTCTGAAATCCACGATAAATTATATTGATTTGTTGCTTCAGTGCTGGACAAACGAAGAAAGAGGAGAAACAGAAGTACTTTGCCAAACGAGTATGCAAATTACATTTACTGACACGTTTGTCCTTTTTGTTTCAGTTGAGTTACCAATCGAGTTTAACGATACCTTCCCTATTTCGCTAGAGAATTTTGAAAAATCACCGACCAGATTCTCTGTCGAAACGTCTCGTTTTTTCCATCGCTGAAAATCGTAATAAAATCGACGTTTAATTAAT